AGAAAATTGCACAAAAGTGGTGAAGGATATGTGTGACAACTGAATGGTTGTACATTATTCACCTGAGTACATTACACCAACACAGCAAATATCATAATTATTAGATTACACTGATATCGAAGGAACTAGACTCAGTTCCGAAATATCGCATACTCGAATCGACCTGACCACGTAGCTCAGTTGGCAGAGCATTGGGCTAGTATTCCAAAGGTCGTAGGTTCGAATCCCACCGTGGCCAGGCATATTTTTCAAGCCTGCCCGGTGTGGATATACACTCAGAGTAACATCACACAAGCATCTTATTCACCTGAGTACATTACACCAACACAGCAAATATCATGAATGGTATCCATTTGTAAAGTTCTTGGCAAGGGGTGGGTATTTACCTTTAATTGATATTTGAGGTTAGGTATTTTTTTTTACTCTTTTGACTGGTTAGATCAGCAACATTTTTACTAAGAGAAGTATTTCTTTTCGGCGCCATCCTCCATCAATAAATGACCGGTTCATTAATGATATGACTGCATGTTCTCCGACTATATAGACATGACTATTTATCATACAGCACATTGTCACAAAATGATAGATTGGATAACTTTCTATTGGATTCTATCGAAGGGATGCGTCTCACATTGCTCTGAGCATGTCGCCTTTATTCCAGACAGCTCTTACGCATAGGAAACAAATGTCTATCAGTATAGCTAATTAACAATTAATGATAGATTTTTTAACCCCTTGTAGCAAAAAGGGATCATCCAGTATCTGCGGGATTTGTATATCGGAAACACCAGAAACAAATATGTTAATTTCCTCATGCATGTGAGTGCCATTTTCTTATATACTCGTATATTCATTTTGGTTTGAATATTTTACTTTTAAACATGCATTTTAGTATTCTAGATATACATTTTAGAGAAAGCGATAAACAACATTTTGAACGAAACATACGTAAATTGTTAAGACCTTCTTTGAGAGGGATTGACGAAAATGCTTCTGTAAGCCCTCCGGCTTAAATTGAACCCTTACAACTTTGCGATTCCGGTGCAGCGCTCCGACCACTGAGTCATATTGAATGCAGTTGCCAAAATCTATAGCCACAAGTTCACGAATATACAGTTTGGTATATATACAACAACAAGGTTATGATAAGGTATATATTTTGTTCATTTTACTTGCAATATTCTTTAAACAACTATATATACATATCTTTCTAACATTAGATTAGAATATTATTTTTGTATCTTTAATACTTTATATTTTGTCTGGCAAGTTAGCTTTTATAATTTATATGTACTCCATACTTACAGAGATTCCTGGTTGGGCACTTGGCAGATTTTTATTGGAACTGGTCTTTTACACTGTAAATTTCAACGAGTTCAATTCTGTATGCAGAATAACACTTTTGCATATAAACTCCTAAAATTTACAATGTTGGGGTAAACAACACTGTCTCCGATATACTGAACATACGTGAGCAATTATAATGATTGATGTTCATTCATGTTTTTTTTTTGGTTTTTTTCTTCTTTAATCTCCAGTAATGCGTATGATAAGCATAGTGATTGACGTTCGTTGTTTTTTAAGTTATTTAGTGCAGTAAATACTATTTTCTTAAATACCTGCATGAATTTTGGCATATATACCAGATACAAAGTACATGAAGTTTACATATATAAGTACATTTGAAATGTATAGGCATGCATGGTTACTTTTGATAACCTTCTGTAATTAAACGTCGAACAATTTTGAGGACGTAATAACAATATTTAGCAACTCGAGTGCTCATAATTGTTAAGTTTTGTCTTGCGAAGCCATAATATATATATAAAAATATCTTAATAAATAAATGAAAAAAGAGAACACGAAAGATATTTCGAACTTGGGGTTCAGTGTAGGTAGTGTTCTACAATTGGTTTGTGTCTGAACTACCTGAAAAAGATATATCAAACGTTGGGGTCCAGTGACAGTGTATATATTATAGGTATAGTATTCTAAATTAAGCTGTCGTGGTCATGCAGACCTGGAAAAAGTGTTCAATGTTCCTCAGATCCTGAATTTGCCTTTTTCAAATGTTCCTCAATTATATTGGTTGTAAAATTGCCGAGGAAACAAAACAATTTATCTTCAAGTTCTATTAACAGGATATGAAGAACACTTCGCAATCTCAAGATAGACTCAAATGGCAGATAACTAAATATGATTCCTTAAAATTCTCCCTTAAAATACGCGTGAAAAATTCAAAATGTTTCTCAATCTTGTTGCTAGGGCCTTTATGTTCCTCATGCAGTCGTGGTTTGTGTCTGAACTACCCTACCTTAAAAAGGTATTTCAAACGTGGGGCTTCAGTGCATATCTAGCGTTTCACAGCAATTAGTTGCCGTGATTTGTGTCTGAACTACCTTAAAAAGATATCTCAAACGTGGGGATCCATTCTAGGTATAGACTATAGTGTTGTATATACAGTAAGTTGCCATGGTTTGTGTCCGAACTACGTCAAAGAACACTCTTGTATATCACTAAATTCCTCGAAACGTCGGTGTGTCTATTTTTACAGGTACTTTAGACACAAACCACGTCAGCTTCATTTTCTCGTAGCTTTGCGCTCGTCTTGGCAGCATTTTATGTTCGGTAACTTCGGTACATGGACCCCAACCTTAGCAGTTGATAGATTTTTATTGGATTTGATGGGAAAAAGCTTAAGTCCGCTGGCAAAAAGCCCACAAATTTGTATTCCAAACTTCTCTCCCATCTGAGTTCGTCTCCTCGCTGGGTTTGCTGCTATCGTTAGACAGTTAGAGGAACTGGATATAATTAAAAGATGTGAATGGCCTCTGAAGGGGTCTGAGAAAAATACTCGGCTTGTTCGGGGGACTTCCGTTTACCTATAAGGTTAAATAAAACGACTGTGTTGTCCATATCCTTTATGACAGTGTTGTATAAGGTTGTGAGCTTGTAGCTTGGGTTGTCGTTGGTTATCATACTGTTAAGACGTCTGGATTCATTCCTCCTACAAAGTAGACTTCTTAACTTTGATTATAGTAAGTTTTCAGTTCGTTCAATTTATCTTTTATAGCATGCTGAATAATTAATGACTGTTAGTGTTATAACCAATTTCTTAAACTATTCTCAACAATTTAGCAAATACAAGTTTATAGATTTTACAACGTTAGCATACGTGTTTAGACTTTAAGCATGCTTAGATATGTTTATAGATACGTTAGATTGTAGGCAGGTTTACACTATAGAAGTTTCTGTGATCACAGTAGGAATTTTGCATAGGTAAATTCTGAAGAATTTGTAAGAAATGGTTGCTGGAACCTGACTCATTATTGTTAAACAACGAGCCAGTTCCCTTATTCTTACAAATCCTTCAAAACGTAGAATTTACAATACCTGTGCAAAATTCCTACTGTGATCACTCAGAAACTTTGATAATGTAACCCAGCCTTACGTTTAGATCTGTCGAAATTTTAAGCATAAAATACGGGATAACAACATTTGAAACCAGGTCTCTAGTTAACATCGCATTGCTGTCTAAAACCCTATAGTCTATATAGTGGTAAAACAACCGAACAGACAATCGGGAGACAAGGTTCGATTCCCGTTGGGAATCATTAAAAAGATATTTTCTGAATATACAAAATTCAGGTATTCTTAAAAGATGAAAAGAGTGCATTATAAATTCGGTTCCTTTTATTTACATGAATGTGCTAACGACATCTTAATGATCGGTGGGCGGTTGTTTAAGAAAGTAATTAATCATTTTAATGAAGAAATTTAGCCAATCATAATGTCCAATTATGAAGCTAATTTTGAACTGTTACTGCCAATCGTATATAAAGGATGGTTAAGACTAAGAGATTCAGAACTGAATAGCCTCATTGTCAAAATTCATCTCTTATTCAAAATTCATCTCATATTGAGAAAATAATATTGATTCTTTTCATTATATGTAGTAGTCTTGTATTTAGAGAGTTTGGTAATCGAATTTAGAGATGTGGAGATTTTAGATTCTTGGAGTTAAAATACCCTAAACGTTTGAAAAATTAGCATCACAACAACGTTGTCCACACTTTTGAAATAGAATATACTCATGGCCGTTTTGTCAGGAGGGGCTGTAGTCCCCAGCCTCCCCCCCCCCCCGCATGCTACGGCCCTGAAGTGCCAATATTTCTGGAGTTGACACTTGACCGCTATCTGGACGACCAATGATCTTCATAGTCCAGTTATATGTATAGCTCATTAGCGCATGAATGAACAGAATATAGATGCCTGTAGGAAATATGTTATTTTTGGTTATCGAGATACGCTTGCTGTTTTAACGGAATATCATGCTAAGAAGATTGTATATTAAGGATATAGTCATAGTGTTTCAGTACTTGTGTTATATATGTATCATAATTACATACCTTCTGAAAACGTTGTGTTACAAAACGCGCGATTTCCTGCCACTGGAGTGTTTCAACCTATCAAATTTCAGTAAACTACTGTAGCTGAACCAGTCAGGTTTAAGCATGTGGAATTCATAATTGTTTCATATGAAAAGGCCCATTTCCACTCAGGAAAATTTTCACAGAAAGAAAATTTTGTAAAATGTGATTGGTCGATACAAATTTTCCGTCGGAAAAAAAATTTTGAAGTGGGAAATTTTCAACTTTTAACAATGATATTTTCGGAAAATTTCTGTCCGTGGAAAATTTTCCTGACTGGAAATGGGTCTAAAAACATACATAGATTTCATACCCCGTATTGGATGTTCAGGGAGAACAGTTTAGAACTGATTGAGCCGTGTCCATTATAAATAACGTCAGTTTAGTTTAGGTTTAATTTTCCTCCTGTAGTATACACTGGATCTGATAAAGGATGCCCCTAGCTAGAGCTATATTTAGTATAAATAAAGTTAGTTTAGTTTAGGTGTCCTCTTGTAGTGACATTGGATCAATATATGCAGGATGCCCCTTACTGGACATCTTTACGAAGAACAGTTTAGAACTCATAGAGCTATCCGGTATATAAATAAAGTTAGTTTAGTTTAGTCTTGTAGTATCAATGAAACAATAAAGGATGTCCCTTCCTGGCCCTCTATAGGGTGAGCAGTTTAGAACTGATAGAGCTATCCAGTATAAATAAAGTTAGTTTAGTTTAGGTTTTCTCCTGTAGTAACACTGGATCAATAAGAGATGATCCTTACTGGACATCTATGGGGAACAGTTTAGAGCAGATGGAGCTATCTAGTATATGTAAATAAAATTAGTTTAGGTTTCCTCCTTTGGTCAATAAAGGATGCCCCTTAATAGACAATGATCTGAGCACTAGGGAAAATAGTTTAGAAACTGATAGTGCTATCCAATTTATCAAATAGAGCCAGTTTAGTTTAGGTTTCCTCTTGTAGTAACACTGGATCAATACAGAATTCCCTTTACTGGACATCTTGGGATAAGTGTTTGGAACTGATAGAGCTATCCAGTATAAATAGAATTCTAATATAACACGCTTGAAATGTGAGACAAGCGTACGATGTCACTTGTATATTTAGCCATATAGTTAATATATTTAGCATTATGAGCTAAAATTTGCAAAATAAACATTGTTTAACAATATTTTCTCTTAAAGCAAAAGCGATTACATCCCTATAAGTTTAAGTCGATCTTCCTGAATGCTGTTTTTATAAATATTTTAAGCTGTATTACATGTCGTACTCACTCGATATGGAAAGCTTTTGTATTGGGATGTTAAAGCAAATACAATATTTCCTAAGTAAAATATTTGCATTGGTTCTCGCTTGTGTAAACGCTGTCCATTGAACTACGTGATGTGGATCCCGTGAATGTGTTTTGTTAAGGCAAGTAGTTCTCGTAAAAAAAACAGTCTCGTAAAAGTTGACAGGCTTTTAGGCCGCAGTAGTTTGCGTCTGATGCACTAGCTAAAAAAAGATAAAGTAAACACCGTCTCATCCCTGGCATGGTATAGTTATACCACGCTAACTTGATTTTATTTAACAAGGCAAATTGGGGGTGGAAAATTATTGAGAATAATTGTATACATGTACCATTTTAATGTATACGTGTTTTAAAACATCCATTAAAGTTGACCAAAGGTACATTGGGCAGCATTTATTGCTGATAACACGTTATAAATCCATATACAAAAGCTTCGGTTAGGGTTAGCCTGGAAACACATTACAGATTTACATCGCACGAGAGTTTCCGCGAGCAGCCCATATCTTATTTGTACATGTATTTATGAAATGGGTTTATAATGCAAACAACATGTTCAATTTAATCAAGCTAGTTACGGCTTTTTCGACTCGCGTTTTCCGTTCCCTGTTGTTGGCGCAGCGTGTGCGCAGTCATTGCGCCTTTATCTACACCTGCTTATGCGCGCGTTTGGCGGAAATTTGCAGGACCATTTTCACGGCTCGCCACAGAAACACAAAGCCTTTATGACCACAACAATACGAAAACAAAGTGGCGACAAATTAGTCCAATACACTCCCGATTGTTTGTTTGTAAAGGCAGGAGATGATGTTAAAATGTCGTTAGATTGTTAAAAGGGAGGGATTTATTTGAAGATTTGTAATTTGCATTCTCGGAACATAACTTACTTCGCCGATTTTAGACTTTGAAAATCGGCCTGTGAACTAGTCTTTGAAATCCTTACTCGCGATATTTTGCCAAGTCGGTTCACCGTTTGCGTGTGCGTACGCAATTTTTGCAATGAATCGTGGACCTCCTGAGCAGAGATTGTTGTTTAAACGCATTTTAGTTCCGGAGGGCAATCGTATCTGCCAATACCCACCGTCCCTGACACATCAATTACGAGTAGACACTGTAGCTAATGGTTTCTGAAGTGCGCACGAACGTCTGGGTTTACTAAAGGAATACAGTCCACGAATTGCCTCATCGCTTCAGGTTAGATTTGGACTATTGTGCTGATTTTTAAGATTACGTATCTCTGTTTGTGTAATATTCTATACAGTCGGTTAAATGGAGTATTAAGTAAACTCGAATGTTTTATTTGTATTGGTAAGAATGGTGTTAATTTGAGCTAGTTATATTATACTATTATAATACTCCTTATCTATTTGAACACATTGTTGTTAGAAAACTCTTTGAGTACTTTTTGTACAGTTCAACTTTGACTGTTCTGTTAGTATGGGGGGCACTTATGCATTATAATTAAAACGTGAAAGAGATGGCGTAGAATTTATACTATGACATGTATCGTGCATGATAATATATATAAGAGCGTATTCACAAGTAAAATCGTCTGGCGTTAGACAGAGGCTATACAGCATAGCTTTCCGTAGCCGGGCGCGATAAAACGCCTATCCGATACGGAATGTACAACTTTCAGAAGCTGAACGAAACAACATCTCTCCGTTGCAATAATTTCTCTGAAAATAGCGTTACAGATAGGTGTTTTTTTTCACGTCGCTACCGTACGTTAACCGGTATACACTGTGAACATAGCCCGAGTAAAATAGCTACTAAAGACAGTATCGTTCATCTTATGTCTTATGACAAACTTTTCGTGCATGAAAGATTAAGGGGATGGTTGATAGATTTCAACTACTATAAAATAACCCTTTCCCGTGTGAGCCTCATCATTCCATTGTGAAGTAAAATAATTTGGTTATAGCCAGAGTGAAATATTAAAACACTGTTTAAATTGTTGTTGCTTTGTTTTAATACAAATCTGCTTTTAATGACAGTACACATCCGTGATTTAATGTGACATTCATTCCACATTTGTTGCGATTCATGCCATTATTATGATGTGTTTTCAAAGGGTGGTTCGGTCATTATGATAGTGATTGTAGATTTTTAACCGCAATTCATGCGCATTAGTGCGCGCTGATGGCCTTAAATCGCGCTTTAATAACAATCTAAAGTGTGGAAACGACGTCTGTGCCGATTAGATTTGAATGTAACTGAATTGCGCGCGTTTGTATGTATCTGTTTTTAAACAACCACAAATGTTAAATATTTGGTCTGGGGTCAGAATCGATCCCACGATCCATCTTGAATCGTTTTACCGACTACGACTTATTACCCACAAAAGTACAGCTTAATATTACGCATACTATAGGCACGAGTTTTCTTTTGCGAGCGAATTACGCAAAATTCGTCTGGTTACATTTAAAGTTAGCTGTGCACGAATGTAGCTACGTTATTGTTTATAATGGCTGGCGCACATGAAGATTATATCCCATGTTTCGTGTGCGAATATATTTCTCTTTGATCTTGATTCCAAGCGCAAACGTAATCCTTAAGTTGCTTAACCCTATTGCGCCCGAGTGCAATAATGAGCCATATTTCTCACTCGATAATAATTTTTGTGACCCGAAAATTGGGATTTCCGTATACTGTCTGAGAGGCTTAAGGTCAGGGCATTATATAACTTCGGAAAGAATAAGAATAAGTTAAGCTTAGATTTCCCCTTTATAAAGAGGTACATTTCGTAATATTTTTCTAGTTTTCAGCACTCGTCAAGCTAAAAGGGTCATTGACTGATATTTTTGGAAATTGAGTTGGAGTGATGTCCACACAGGACAAATAGAAAACAATTTTACAACAGTAGGAATCGTAACTGAAAGCTATATCAATATCTTCCTACCTTATCTATCTATCTACCTATCTACTTACCTAATTATCAATTAACCTATCATCAACCTATCTACTTACCTACCGTCCCACCCATTCCTTTCACCCATCTACCTACCTCCCTCCCCATCTACCTACCTCCCCATCTACCTACCTAAACCTACCACCTACAGGGATGGATCCAGCATGATCTGGTAGGGGGGTGCTCTGCGGCCTACTACCTACCCACCTACCTACCACCTACCTACTATTGACCTGCCTACCCACCTACATACCTACCAATCTAGCCAGCCATGCACCTACTCATCTACCTCCCTGCCCACCTACCTACAGTACCTGCTTGCCTGCCCACCTACCTAGCTGCCTGCCCACCTACCTACAGTACCTGCTTGCCTGCCCACCTACCTAGCTGCCTGCCCACCTACCTACCCATACACAACCAAATTATAATTACCAATCAACTAATTTATTGCTTTTTCATTTTTCTCTAGAAAATGAGGTTCACATCAGCCGTGTTTATTTTAGTTCAAATATTTCTATCACTCGTCACTGAATGTGTTCAGGTGGAGGGCGTCCGTTTCTATCAAACAAAAAGGCAGCCAGGAAGGCAACAAGTGGACATTGATATTTTCAGAAACATGTTTTCACATCCAACAAACAGAAAAAAGGTTGTGCTAATGTGTCGTAATAAAAACTATCTTGTCATGGAGCACGAGAAGCTGAAAGGATCAACCGATCCAAAGATTATCAAACAATTTGGTAAGTCTATCTATATTCTGCTTGTGAAAGCTCATATCTCTAACTTAATTTCTACTGCAGTAAGCGTTTCCCCTAGAAGTCCAGTAAGGAACATTCCTGATTAGTCAGTGCAGTCAGGTGCAGTGTCAGCCATGCCTGTAAAAGTTTGTGGAGGTAGCTAATTTTTGAATGGAGGTAGGCATGGCCGAGGAGGTAGGCCTGGGGACAAGAATAGATCCTCCATATTCTGACAATCGAAGCTCGGTCACAGAAGTAAAATTCACATGCACATGCGTTTACCATTGTGACACCAAAAATATACTCCTCAAAATATTTTTAATACTTTAAATGCCTCGCTCTGCAAATCCTAAATCTTTCCGGCTGCGCTGTTTTTACCACTGCTGTGAAACGTTTAATAGAAATAAGCTTATTTGCATAGGAATGATAATGTGTAAAACAAATTTATGAAAAAGCTTTGGTATATAGAATTTTAACATTTTTAATCAGCTGCATGGTGCATTTTATGCAGTTCACATTTGAAAGATAGCTCGCAAATACATTGTGAAAACGTAAAGTTTACTAAACTATATATATTCTAACTTGAAAAGCTGTTTTATTGAGCCTACGGCTGTTTAAGTGGTTTTAACAGGATCATCTATTGAACAAGCATATTCGTTTTGTAGGGATTCTGTTTTATGCATGTATTTCTTGCCCGGCACATACTGATTTTTGAACGCGTTTTCACCCTGTATAAGAGGCAGCAATGAATTCGTAAGATTTAGAAATGCAAAACTAAAGCATTTTTAGTTGCAATTCCTAACACAAAGTTGCAAGGCATTTTTTAATACCATCGACTGGTGGGGCATTTACCCCACTGGGCCCCTTCTTCTGCCCCACCACTGAAGAAAAAAAGGCCTATTGCCCCAAAGCCAGGGCCCTAGGACCTATTGAAAAGAAGTTTGAAAAACAAAATTTGTTGGTGAGCGTACATAAACTTATGTTGCGTTTGAATGTTTAGCAGCAATTTATTACAAATTTCACCATTAAAACTTTGCTTTGAGAAGCTGAGATTTTTAAAAAAATGTGTCCTCAGAATGCATGCGGAATTGCTATCTCAGAGACTCAAATTTTAAATATTTCTTGGGGGCCATGCACCCACACCCCCGCCCCCTATAGCTAACTCGTGCCTTGCTGTCTTGGGAGAGGGCAAGGAAAACGGGCCCTTTGGTAGTTTTGCCCCACCGCTGACGAATCCTTAAAAAAGCGCACTGCAAAGTTGTCAAGGAAGACTGAACTAGCTTCATTTATTCAGAAATTATAGCTTCAATACTAGCTTCATTTATAAACCCTTACTGATCCAATGTTACCACAGCTAACTTTATTTATACTTAACTGGATAGCTCCATCAGTTCTAAATTGTTTGCGCAAGAGGTCCAGTATAAGTGCCATCTGTTATACGCCTGTATTTGCTGAAAAGCTCACTCATGGCTCACACTCAAAGAGTGCATGGAGGTTCAATCTGAGCTTCCCTTGTGTGTCAGTGCTGTTTTTGAATAGCTGGAGGTTGAGTAGTCACATAGTAAGGCAAGGGACTGACCTTCAGCTATTCAAAAAGAGCACTGACACTCAAGGGAAACTCAGATTGAACCTCCACTCTTTGAGTGTGAGCATGAGTGAGCTTTTAGAATACAGACGATAGTTATCCAGTGTTATAACGGTCAGGTGGTGATTTTTTCACAAACTTAATAATAGTTTAGTAATTTAAGAGATTTTTATATTTATCATGAGATCTGTATAGTTTCACAGCTTTTGAAACATTTTAACGACGGTTAAAAAAATCGCTATCAGACCTCCGTTACTTCATATGCAAACGCCTACAGATGGAAAATGAATTCCAAAGTTTTTACAAAAAGTGTCACGCCGTATACCTAAATGATGCTACGCTTTTCACACGGTCGGCTCAGCGAAGCCTGCAATTAAAACAGCAGTATCTTTTGCACACAGTATGAAGTCAAGTTGTTCGAGAAATTACTATCTGTATAATACTGCGGTACCGTTTCTCTGCGCTGTATGAACGAACAGTTGGTAGTCGACACTTGTGTTTACACAATGAAATAGGATTATCTAGATTGAACGTTAAATTGTCTGTAAACAGTTTTGGGGACAGAATCTAATGAGTAAATTTATGAAAAACATTCGGTGGGCAATGAATAAATGTTTCATATAACGTCATATATAAGTTCATTAAATATGAGTGGAGTGAATTTTATCTGCTTTTTAATTTACATCAAGTGGAAATTTTAGTTTGAAAATAAATGAAAGAGCCCTATCTGATCAACTGAAAAATGGTTAATGTTGGGCGGTTGTTAATTAAAAGTAAATACCGTAAGCTAAATAAACCCAGAGGAGTTGCTCTTATATGTTAGCGTTAAGGACTGGGTCAATTTTGCGGGAAATTGATGGGCTTTCACAAATATTGTAGTTCGTACACAAAACTGATTTCTGCGCATGTTAAGCAGAAATGTCTGTATTGTTGCCTAGTCGTGTTCAGTAACTTAGTGGAATGTAACTTCGGTGAACAGTTTTAGTTAACATGCATTGAAATCCACTTTCGTAAAGTTGAAAGCGGAATATTGAATTTGAGTAGGAATGGGTTTTAAACCAGTTTGAATATATGACTTTTTCTGAATAAAAAAAGAACGTGAAAAAATTAGTTTGATTTCAAGAATATTGAAAGTATAGGAATATTGAATATTGTAAGGAGAAATACCCCGGATATTACTTCACTCTTTTGCATCATATTCAAGCCTTTCTGAATGCGCTATGTGCGTATTCTTTGTCGTTTCTTTGCGAACAAACAATCACAACAGCGGACTAATATTAAATCCCCGTGAGCGCTGTGAATAATAATAACAAAAAACAGACGCAAACAATCAAATTCACAAAGAAAAACAGCAAGTAGGGTCAAAGTTTTCATGTTTACAAACGGAATTATGTGAACTTTAATGTGTTTTTGATGGGATTATTGTCCATAGCGCAGTTTGAAGATCCGTTCCTGTCTCATGTTGCTTCGACGCGACCACTGCATGCGCATGAAACCGCGTGCTATTTTTGGTAAACGCGAGATGGCGAAATTGCGCGCACTGTTTTACTGTTTGTATAGGGTGTGTCCGAGGTCAGTGTGGGCCGCAATATGATTTGTCAGTGACCGCTGAGGGCCTGGAGATGCTTAAACGCAGGGACGCCGGAACGATGTGAAGGCAAGGGGGGCAGATTTTCATGAAAGGGCACTTTTGAATTGATATATACTAAGAGATGTTTGCAAAACATCGGGAGTTGAACTTCGCCCAATCATGTTTTCTATTTTTGGATGATAGGGGTGTGAGGGGGTTCTCCGCCAGGCGATTGCGCTATTCTTGAAGCTCGATGACTGCATTTCTTGCGTTTTCTGAAGCAAATTCGTAAAAGAATTGCACTAACATTTCTGACAATTCGCTCTTTCGCCAAGGCAATCCTTTAAATTGAAAGGGCACCTTTGCCCCCCCCCTTGCCCCTCCTCATGGTAAAGGGCAACGGGGGCGGCTGCCCCCCCCCCCAGTTCCGGCGTCCCTGCTTAAACGTGAATAATATGGAGTCCAAAATCTTGAGTATTTACCCATATACCTTACACTAGCATCACCTTGGAATAAATACATGAACTTGTGGATAGAGCTCGACAACTGGACTCTGTAGCTCTGTTGTTGGTCAGAGCGCCGCACCTCTAGGAAGGCCCGTTTTATTCTTCTTCCGATGGATGTGAAAGAGTGAATAAGTTATGAATGCTCTGAGTATATGTACCCTCATTTAAACATTCCTAACTTATCCACTCGTTCACATACATTAGGAGGAGAAAATTGCACCTAAAATCAGCAGCAAAAAATTGCAAGTGTAAACGGGCATTAACTCTTAAGGCAAATAGTTTAGAACTGATGGAGCTATCCCATAGATATCTTATATACACTAGATAGTGCATCTAATTATTCTGCAATTCAAAAATTGAAGCCGTGATTGCAGTCTCAGGTCGTTCCCATGAAATTAGAAGATTCGTATTTTTCCTATTTCTTAAACAGGGAACTTAAACATTAAGTTAACCCTATTCCAAATTCGTTTTTAAACTATTCAAATGACGAAAGTTATTGTTGTTTTTAAGCGTTTATTAGCAAGTGGGAACGACCAACATGGCCGCCATCTATTCAAATGGGGGTAACCGCTGGAATATTCTTGGCTTCAATTTTACTAAAAGAGATGCGCTATCTAGTGTATATAAGATATCTATGAGCTATCCAGTATAGTTAGCTGTGGTAACACTACATCAATAAGGCACTGGTTGGAAAGCCGCACCGTAATCGCAGGACCGCCTGTTCGATTCCTACCAGAGGCCCTATATAGTTGCATTTTTCAAACACCGCACGCTGGTCTAATCCAGCGAATTTTCTCCCACTCGTGCGGGCTTATATTGTCAGCGGACATCCACACAAAATTAGCAACAATGTAGCACTGTCCAAAACGCAAAGCTTTCAATATAATATCGGACGCCCGCTGGAAAAATTACCCTGTTTTTTTCCCTTAAACAAGTTCTACCCTTCTAGAACAGTTAGAATTGATATTATATAATTCAATTGCAGTGTATAGCTAATATTTTGTTAAGTATACGAAGTAACAATCTATTAATTCAAACTTGGATTTTTAATCTTTTCCTAATGTTGCCGGCAAGTTGTTGATCCCATTCTCGTGGGGTTTTTTTAACAGGAAAATTTGAGTTGCAGTCGTTTGGTGTGGGAATTATGAAAATTTTTAATGTGAGGACAAGGAAATTTATTGCCTTCGACAAAAGTGGGCGAGCTTATACAACGGTAAGAAAACGATAAAACATGGAAATAAGTTCACTATTTATTGTAATTATTATTCCGCTTACTTGACTGCAGGGGCGTAGGAAGCTTCTAAAAGTTGGGCGGCCAGGCTTTGAGGGGCACTTTTCGCAAAAAAAGGGCATCTAAAAATTTTTTCCCGGAAATGTTGGCGACGGGGGGGGAGGTCATCAAAAAAATTTTTCGGACAAACCAAAAAATTTTCCAGATATATAATATTTTTCTCGGAAATGATCAAATTTTTCCGCAAATAACATTGATTCGAGTATTCAAAAGTGCCCTTTGGGCAGAAAAGACAATCTTAATGAAAATTTTTAACGCAAAAAAGGGCACTTTGCTCCCGGAAAAAGGGCACTTGGCAAAACTCGGGGGGGGGGCTGCCCCCCCCTGAGCCCCCGGTTCCTACGCCCCTGCTTGACTGCATGCATGGTGATGACGTTACTCGGAGAACATCATCCAAAACATACATATATCTACCTTTATAACATAATTACTACGTATCAGATTTGATTGACAGGCGTATCGATCTCGACCAATGGGAATTTTGCGTTGTGTGGGCAACGCATATTTCGTTTCTTGATATGTTGTCGACAGGCCCTCCTTTTCTTTCGCATGCCCGGGAATCTAAACCCGCGGAAAGGAGGGACCGCTCGCAGTCTAATATCGACTTGAGAACAAATATCACCTACCATTTAACGTCCTTATCCGAGAAGAGGCGAAAGTCTAACCAGTCACTGATATCAATGTAAAGGTAGCACTTTCTCCTCAATGGACCATTCCCCAATTAACCAAAATTTTGAACTCAACAAGTCTAGACAAAAATTTCATCACAGCTTGAAAGAGCATCACAAAATTAGTAATATTCCAAAGTTTCGTTGCAAAATGTTGTAAAATGCGGATAATATAGCCTTGCGAAGTTTGCAATTTTCAGTCATTTTAGATTACAAACGGGAAACGGTTACCACTTCTGTGCGTAATCTAAAATGACTGAAAATCACAAACTTCGCAAGGCTATATTATCCGCATTTTACAACATTTTGCCACGAAACTTTGGAATATTGCTAATTTTGTGATGCTCTTTCAAGCTGTGATGAAATTTTTGTTTAGGCTAGTTAAGATCAAAATTTTGGAAAAGTGGTAACCATTTCTCGTTTGTAATCTAAAATGACTGAAAATTGCAAACTTCGCAAGGCTATATTATCCGCATTTTACAACATTTCGCAACGAAACTTTGGAATATTACTAATTTTGTGATGCTCTTTCATGCTATAATGGAATTTTGTCTAGATTTGTTGAGATCAAAATTTTGGTTAATTGGGGAATGGTCCATTATTTTAAGACTTTACAGATACAGATATTTCACAGCACACTCCCTATATCAGGGATTTTCAGTGACTGGTTACATTATGAATAGGTAGATAGAACCGGACTGACGTGAAGCAGACCGAGGTAGGCTTTGTGCTTACAAATGGCGCTTAAGCAGCCGCTATTAGTCCATACCTCAATAATGATCTGTCTCCAGAGTCCAGACCTATGTGCCTAACCCACCCTGTCAACTTTCCCTGTGGGAGGAAACACGGAGTACCCGGAGAAAACCCACGACTTTCGGCAGAGCGTTGACTTGTACTCTTTTCACATGAGGACTGGGTTCGAGTCACATTGAGAAGTTCTCACTGAGATTTGAACCCACGGCCTTAGAGGTGAAAGGCAAGTGCGCTAACCACTTCGCCACCGAAGCACCTTGAGTCTCTACTGGACCTGGCACCCCCAGCTTGAAAGGCAAGCGTGGTGACCTCGACACCATTTGATAGACTATGATCTACCCAAGCGAAATCTCACAGTGTTCTGTTTTCCATTTCAGCGAAATAACACACTTGACACTCTGTTCAAGGTGACACAAAGAAACAGTTTATTCGTGACTTATCATTCGCTCGTACACCGCACGCTGGAACACGGCGCGAGACGAAAATGGTATTTAGCGATTAAGGCAAATGGACGTTTTAAACGACCATCAAAAACACATTCAAGACATCGCAAATCTATAGAGTTCCTCCCGCGAGACTGGAGAAAATATAAACTACATTTAATGAATTCACGATAAATGGAAACGGACTATACTATACGGTGCTGTAGTCTAAACCCTCGGTGGACCAATACATCCGAATTCCGAGTTGAGAGCCAAAATCTTCAAACGTGGCCACGCCCAATGTACGACAAGGGTAACCAAATGGGGTACAAAAAAACCAATTAAACAACGCCTATATAAACGTGACTACAAATGTTATATCCATATAACGAAATGCTTTTAACTGGTTTAAAAGTGGTATACATAAAATGCAATTACTGTATAGAAATAAGTTATATACTATGTAGCAAGGGTGACCTTATTATTGTAATAGGTAGGTTTTACTAAGCACGAGCAGATGGTTGGCAATCGGTAGAGATCAGAATGAGAAAATAATGTTAATATCTGAGGTGCAGACGTAGTTAGGTAATGGTTAGGGATTTGAGTTTCTTGGATTTAGTTCCGAATCACGTGAAGATATCCAGTCAACACGTGCCCCCACGAACGTCGTGTTCCTTATCACAAGGAACTACACACGTAAAAATCTCACATCTTGTAACAAGTCTGCCAACAAGCCGTCAACAAGATGTATTCGCACTGCTTGTCACAAGTTGTCAACAGATTTGGAACAACTTATTGACAACTTGTAACAACCTTGTCGAAATTATCAGACTTGTTGCAACATTGTTCTGACAAGTCCGTTACAAGCTTGATATAACAAGATTGTTACAACCTTTTGTCGTCAATCTTTTGTAACATCCTTGTTATATCATGGCTGTAACAAACTTGTTAGCACAGTCTTGTAACAAGGCTGATAATTCCATCAAGCTTGTTACAAGTTGTTAACAGTTTGTTTCAAACGCACAAGTTGTTACAAGTCTGCAAACAAGTTGTTACAAATCTGTTCACATGCTGTCGACAAGTTGTGTTCGCAATGCTTGTTCCTATAGTTGCTGGAACAAGTTTGTAACAAGCTTGATGAGATCAGACTTGTAGCAAAGTTGCTCTACCAAGTCTGATACAGTCGTGATATAATAAGAATGTTACAAGGTTGACGACACAAGGTTGTAACAATATTGTTATATCATGACTGTATCGGTCTTGTTGGAACAACCTTGCAACAAAACTGATAGTATCAACAAGGTTGTTACAAATTGTTAACAGCTTGTTCCAAACCTGTTAACAACTTGGGACAAGCAGTGCGAGCACAACTAGTTGACGGCTTGTTAGCAGACTTGCTACATGATGTGAGATTTTTACGTTTGTAAGTGTTCGACTGAAAATTAAGAACCGAGAAGAATATGAGCCACAACGCTTTTCAACATAGTAGTCTTGTACCAATTTGGCGGCAAAAATTTCTGGGATTGTTCAACCATCTGCTACTCTGAATGCTTGACAAAATCCACCAGGACTCAATTGTACATACTAATATGTTTAGCAAAACATTGTTCAATATAACAAATATTAAAGTGAAACTCGAGAAATTTATACTGTGTTAAACTCACCAATAGTAAAATCACCAATGTCGTTTTTCTAATTAATAAATATTACAACGAATTCTAAATAGTTCTTGTAAATGTGGAACAATTTAGATTTCGTTAAGCCCTGATCAGACCAGAATGAGAATTGCATGAGAGTTGAGAAGCGAGAGTTTTGCATGAGAATTTTCTCAACTCTCATCAAAATTCTCATGTCCCGGTCAAACGAGAACAAGAGTTGCATAAGAGTTGATGAGAGTTGAGAAGCGAGAATTTGCATGAGAGTTTTCTCGACTCGCATCAAAACTCTTGTGTCCTGGTCAAACGAGAACAAGAGTTGCATGAGAGTTGATGAAAATTGAGAAGCGAGAGTTTGCATGAGAGTTATCTCAACTCTCATCAAAACTCTCATGGCCTGGTCAAACGAGAACAAGAGTTGCATGAGAGTTGACTGGATATTACTGCTCGCGTAGCGAAAACTCTCACCAAAATCTGAACCAGTTCAAAGCTGATGAGAGTCGCTGACAGTTGACCGAGGCTTAAAATCTGAAGTTGCGATTGGATAACACACCAGCCTGCAACCGTGGGATCAGAAGTGTCATGAAAACAGTTCCCGTTGGCGATTTGTTTGCTAAACTGGATATGTTCCCATTTTTTAGACTAAACTTCAGACTGTCAGAAAATTACTTAACACTACACTGCATCAACTCTCATCCTCGAATTGGTTTTCGTCTGTCCAAATTATGAGATCAGTGTCATTTTTAATGGTCGCGCGCCATTACAAGGAAGACCCTGGGGACGAGGTTGGGTCTATCCAGTTTATTATGAGGACAGTTCTGAAAACTGATCTCGTAACAGACTGGATGGACCCCATCAAAAATGAAGCCAGTTCGAGCGAGATTTGGAGTAAGTCTAATCCTCTCGTTTGACCAAGCCTAAACTCTAAACTCGCACACATTTATCTGCAGTTCAACTTGTCAAACTTCTATTAACTATGGTTCAATTCCTTATCAGAGTATATCTGATGCAGTACAAAACGACATAAGTCATTTGAATTCCAGTATGATAGATGCGATGTTATAGCGGACCAGTATTGAGTTCTGTTCTCACATAATGTGTAGTCGATTCGTCTTGAAAGAACTAAAAATAAACAAGTAGAAGAAATATTAGTGAAACAAGATGCTCTATGGAACGTTAAGTCGCTGGGGCAATGGAAATATGGCAACTGTCTGTGACAGTCCAATAATCGAGTGAGTCATGCTTTAGAAATGACAACACATTTTTATTACCCAACCCTTGACCTGCTTTGTTTTTCATTTCCCAACCTTTTACAGTACACCCCCAATAAATAACGACCGCTCCCTTACTGGTCCTCTAAGGAGAGCAGTTTAGAATTGACTGAGCTATCTATTACCATCCATTAGTTTCCCAGGACTACCCTGACCGTAACTCATACCTTGTTTCTGTTTTGCTAACTCAGCAATATGTTCATCTCCGTCAGTTTCGTCGTCACTGCGGGCGTCAAAATCTTTGGCAGTACTTCGTGAGAACATGCGTGAAAACCATCCACCGCTTGACATTTCTTTGGATGCATTTGAATCGCCGGCATCACACTGATCTGTGCTGCTGGGAGTTTGTCTGAAATATAATAACAAATAGTCAAATACTGTACTTCAAAGCAGACTACGAACAACACCTGAACTAAACTAACTTTAGTTATACTGCCAGATGATCTTGATACGCGGAAAAGTACTGGCACTAGTTGTCAAATAGAAATCCATTTTATGATTAAAACAACTGAATATCTCCTGTAATATACTTTATTTCGATTCCATATTTTTGTCAGAGCTATAGTTCTCATAACCAAACATAATTACAAAATTTCATCTAGTTTCATAAAGAATAACGAAAGATATAATTGACTGAATACATCAAAATGGATTTCTATTCGGACAACCCTTTCTGAGCGCTGATTGGCTAAAATACGAACACGAGATCACCTGGTGGATAGTTTTTCAGTTCCATACTGTTCTGCCTAGAGATTAGGTAAGGATTCGAATGAATCCATTTCATAAAGATGAAAGGCCACGCCCCACAATGAATTCATCAACCTACCCTTGTTCTGTACTGCATTCAGCAGTGTTTCCACCTTTCGGTCGTCCTAACAAGGCGTACACTAGCCAGTTCCCAGTCCCTCCGCTGCTGTCTGGCTGCAAAGATTCCTCTGGAGAATCGTATGAATAGTTTGACTCTGTATGACTTTTTATATGCACTGGTTCTATGTTTGAATAGCGCTCACGAAATAACGGTTCTAGTCTGTAAGCCTGGAAATGAAAGAAAAAATACTCTAAACATCAACCAGCAAGACTTAAAAGACATTGGCAATAGAAAAATTGTTTAGTTTATTTGAAAGAACTCTTAAAACTATATATTAGACTATATTACAGGTTGTTTATATCTTGCTTAGTTTTCAAAATATTTCGACTGAAAAAAGTGAGCTGTTCGCCATCTTGGATTATTGAGGATATGCATGTTACGTCAAGAGAGGGGTCACGCTAATTTTTTTATCTTGAGAGTAAGCGATCAACATGGGTCCAAAACGTCGTTTCTGGTTGTTGTCTGAAATTTAGAAATGATTAAAAACATTTCAAACAATTTTGGAATGTTACTCGGTCATTTTAGAATAGTTTTATATAGTCAACCCAACTCCTGACATCATCAAAACCATATCGAGAACACCAATTTCGAGAACTAAGCAAGATATGACAAATCGGTAATAAAGTTTAACATACAATTTTAAGAGTTCTTTTGAATGAGACAAACTATTTTTTTATTGCCAATGTCCTTTTAAGGTGCGTTTAACACTAGAAATTAAATCGCATGCAGCAAGTTCAAACGGGCCTTATAAATTTCCTATGGTTGAATATTCTTCACTGGTTCTTACCACAGGATCACATTGATCGTAGATATTAAACAATCTCTCGCAGACAATCTGAGGCATGACGGCTTTCTCCGTTTCCTCACCAGGACGAAATCCCCGTAGGGTGAAAAATACCGCTAATGGTGAACCGACCAGAAAGCAATTGGTAACCTAGAAATGGAATAATACCGTGACAGATTACATTTTAAGAGTTCACATCGTCGTGCAGTAGATGGTGGTCAAGTTATCAGAAAAAATAACGTTAATTCTTGCCGATTGTAAATTTATGTGGTGGTCTAATGGCCTAGAGTTGAGAAGTGAGAGTTTGTTCAAACGAGAAAAAGAGTTGTATGAGAGTTGAGAAGCGAGAGTTTGTGTGAGAGTTTTCTCAACTATCGTGCCCCGGTCAAACGAGAACAAGAGTTGCATGAGAGTTGATGAGAGTTGAGAAGCGAGAGTTTGCCCCTGTCAAACGAGAACAAGGGTTGCATGAGAGTTGAGAAGCGAGAGTTTGTATGAGAGTTTTCTCAACTCTCATGCCCCGGTCAAACGAGAAGCGAGAGTTTTCCCCTGTCAAACGAGAACAAGGGTTGCATGAGAGTTGAGAAGCGAGAGTTTGTATGAGAGTTTTCTCAACTCTCATGCCCCGGTCAAACGAGAAGCGAGAGTTTTCCCCTGTCAAACGAGAACAAGAGTTGCACGAGAGTTGAGAAGCGAGAGTTTGCATGCGAATTTTCTCAACTCTCATCAAAATTTGAACCAGCTCAAAATTGATGAGAGTCGATAAGGGTTGGTGCCCAAACGCGAGCAAGAATTTTCTTGCTTCCATAAAGCCACAGTCAAACAAGGTTGAGAGTTGATGAGAGTTGGCAGTCACGAATTTCTACAGGGGCATTTCAAGCTCTAGATTAACGAAATAAAGATTTGATAGGTGTTCCAACTATACGTTTTAACTTAAAATACATGATAGTGTTGGGAAAGCATTAAGAACAGCTAACCAAGGCCGCGTGAC